TAAACGGAGCTCTGGTAGCATAGAGCCTAAGGCATCTGACTGCTAACCAGAAGGCTGGCAGTTCAAACCCACCAGCCACTCCTCAGAAGGAAGATGGGACAATCTACTTCCGTAGTGATACTGCCTCGGAAACCCAAGAAGGGGTCACTATGAATCAGGTCTGACTCGACGGTACATACTGTTTCAAACAACATACTGTTTAAATGTCCTTAGGAAATCTTATCTTGCCCACAGTTTTAAATGCCATTTATATGCAGACATTGACTCTCAAATTTGTTTCTCCAGCTCTAACCTCTCCATTTAGTTCTAGAGCCGTTTAGTTCTAGATTAATACAACTACTTACTTGACACCTCCAGTTGGATAAGATAAAGGGGTGTAGTGCTAAGGCATTTGACTGCTAACCAGTCAAACCACCAGCCACTCTGCAGAAGGAAGACTGGGCAATCTACTTCCGAAAGACTTACCACCTCGGAAACCCAAAGGAGGTCGTTTTCAGTCAGAATTGACTTGATGGCAGTGAATTTGGTTTGGATTTTTTTTTCGGTCAGTACCCTCTCATACCCCTTTGGAGTCCCCAGCTTAACTGCTTCTCATCGCAATTAAAATCCTAATTTTTTACCTATGTCCCTACATATTCTAGTTACTGCCCACTTTTCCAATTTCATGTCCTAATACTCATCCCCTTACTCAGTAAACAAGAAGCACAAGTGGACTTTCTGTTCCTCAAATATTTCAAACTTTTTTTCTACTTTAGACGTTTACCTTTGTCTTTTCTGTCTCTTTTTGCCTCTAGTTCTTTAAGTGACTGGTCCTGTTTTTGGGGAGGGTGGTATAATTCAGTTTTCAGTTCAAATGGTACCTCCTCAGAAAGGCCATCCCTGAATACTCATCAGTATATCTCCACTTTCCAGTGCCTGTGGTCACTTGATTACATCATTTAAGTTTCAATTTCTTCATAATACTTTAACCTGAAATCTCATATTCATTGTAGAGCTCACTTTGAAAAATTTTAAGTATAAGCTCCACAAGAGTATGAATTATCCTGAGCCTCTAAAGCCATGCCTAAGACATTTTAAGAATTCAGATATTTGTTGTTGAATCTGAATTACGATTATAGTGTGAAATTGGAATTCAAATCTACACTTGTGATTCCAAAACACATGAGTCTATTTCATAGTAGGTTGCCTATTCCAGTAAATGTGTACCCAATTAGTCAGCAGTTATACAAGGGTAAGTAATTTTGGTTTGGACATGTGCCCAATATTAGATTATTCTACCACTAAAGGGACAAAGGTAAATTTAAACCCTCCAGCCCTTCTGTGACGTACACAGAAATAATGTTGTTTGTTGTTGTTATGTGCCATCAAATCAACTCTGACTCATAGTGACCACTCCTTGGGTTTCTGAGGCGGTATCACCACGGAAGTAGATTGCCCAACCTTCCTTCTGAGGAGTGGCTGGTGGGTTTGAACCGCCAGCCTTCTGGTTAGCAGTCAAGTGCCTTAGGCACTATGCTACCAGAGCTTCTATACAGCAATAATAGAAAGGAAAAATATTTAAAAAGAAGTCAAGGAACACTGTTTGCTGTACTAGCAATGTCCTAACTATACTTATAGTTCAGAGAAGGCAATACAGCAAATTTGGGAAGCCTTCTCTATTCCTGGGTTTTATCTTCATAGGAGTGAGGAAAGAAAGAAGCCTGTGTGTGGAGATAAAGTAAATTAATAGGCATTATCTCAGGAATAAGGAACCCTGGTGGCACAGCACCTAAGGCATCTATCTGCCTGCTAACCAGAAGGTTGGATGTTCAAACCCACTAGCCATTCCACAGAAGGAAGATGGGGAAATCTACTTCTATAAAGATTTACTACCTCAGAAACCAATGGGGGTCACTAAGAGTTAGAATCTACTTGATGGCAGTGGGTTTATTTTATTTTTTTTAAATCTCAGGAATATTCAGAAAGAAGAATCTCTGGACTGCCTGGAAATGGAGAGGTAGTAGGGCTTCAAATTGGTTCTTCCCAGTTCAGTCTTGGCTGATGAAGTGAAACCAGAATGGATCCAAATTTGTAAAATGTAGGCGAAGGAGACTAATAATCGGAACAGAAAAATTATGGGTTGATGCCCTGCTAGAAATTTAACCTCTCTCTTAGAAAACAAGGGTTTTGTGAACATTGCATAGCAACCAAATCTCTTGAGTAGCAGAGTTGGGAAAGTGGTACCCTGCTCAAAGATGAGGTCTACTGTGCCACTTTGAATGTGTGTCACTCTCCACAGTCCTGAAAATAATCCATTCTCCTGTACCAGGCTTCTGAAAGGACTCACTACAACTCTTCCAGATCTCCCATTCCAGGGCTTCAACCTGTAATTTTCCTGTTCCGGTTACCCTTACGCTTCATTGGCTATAACTGAACTGGTTTGAACTGGTTCAAAGCCCTGGTTATGTGAGAAGAAAGGAGAATGGTAAGAATAAGAAACCCCACTGCTATAAAGTCAATTCTGACTGATAGTGACCCAATAGGATAGGGCAGAACTGTCCCCTGGGGTTTCTAAGACTATAAATCTTTATGGAAGGTGACTGCCATATCTTTGTTCCATAGAGTGGCTGGTGGGTTCAAATAGCCAGCCTTTCAGTTACCTGCTGAACACTTAACCACTGTACCACCAGGGCTCCTTGAAATAAGAAAAGAATGCAAGAATAAAACTCCGAAGCAATTTCTATCTATTTAGAAGTAAAAATGCAATTAAAGCAACAAAACAATTAAAACATTGCTACCCTTAATCTCACCCTGTATTTAACACCAGGTAAAGATATATTTAAAGGGTAAACTCATGCAATCCACTATAATGAATGAAAAAAAGAAGTATAGTTAATTTCATATTTATTCAAAAGTTATAAGGAAGTAGGGGAAAAATCACTTTTAATCCAAAAACTAATTACACGTTAAAACCAAAATTAGTATTAAGTGAAAAATCACTTCTAGATCCAAGTGCCAGACTCACCGATCTTCTAAAACTTTAATGGTTTCATGAAGGACCTTCTGTTGCTCTCTCAGTTGTTGGTTTTTGGTGAAGAATTCTTCCAGTCTTTGTGCATCTCTAAAAGTGAAGAAGTCAATCTAAGTTTTTTAGAGAAAAAATATTCTAATAATTCTATTATAAGAACGCCAAAGTACGGTCTCACATTCACATAGCATGAATTCCTTTAGCAAAACAAATAGCTTACATATCTTATTAACCAGAGTTCAAATTCACTAGGAGTTTCATTCTGCAGTATTTTCACCCACTATAGAGAGGTATTAAGGAGCTCTGGTGATATGCTGGGCAAGGCATTTGGCTGCTAACTAGAAAGTTGGAGGTTCAAATCCACCAGCTGCTCCATGGGAGGAAGATGAGGCAACCTACTTCCATAAAGATTTACAGTCCTGGAAACCCAAAGGGGGTCGCTATGAATCAGCATCCCAATCGGCAGTGGATGGGTTTATAGAGAAGTACCCCGAGTATCTGGCATTCATTACACAATGCTGGAACACAGAGAGGGAATGGATTTTGATACCACTATTGGCTCAGTTTTATCAAAATGGCTATAAAAATGTATACTTACTGTTTAAGATTTTGTCTACATTTGTTAATGTAAATAGCAGATTACTCTTATACCATCCTTATTCCAATTATGGGAAATTTGTACTTTCTAACTTACTAATTTTGTTTCCTGAAACTTTCTACTTGGTATTATAGTCAAGTGGAAGAACATGAACTCTAAACCCAAATGCCTGGATTTAAATTCCAGCTCTGACCTGGTTCAAGAAAATTAAACTTTCGGTGCCTCAAAAAATACAGATACAATAGTACCTACCTCATAAGGCATTTGCAAAGACTACATATTAATGTATGTATAGTATGTAAAACACTGAGTGCACATAGAAAGCTCTTTAATTATTTACCATTAGGAGCTTATAATCAGGAACAAATAAAGACTTCTAAAATTTTCTTCTGGTAGAATTTGATTACTTTTCAAGGTTATGGCATATTTTACCCCACCATCATTTTTTAAAAAAATCACATTATTATATCAAGTATGCATGCATTTTGATATTAAGAAAATCCATTGGGAATTTGAAATTTTCTGTACTGTCTTGAAGGTGAAAATACAGGACAATACTGTGGTTCACACATCTTCCCCATCTCTCCTCAAGGGTCTGAAATACTGAATCAAATAAGGGTGGCAATCTAGTATGTCACAAAAAGTAGATATCAAAATGACTGTGTCAAAGTGGCTAGAATGTAGAATATCACTGGTACGAAAAACAGATGAAAAAAACAACAAAGTCAACATGTCCGCGAGTGGTCGATTTTTTCCAAATGATTTGGTCTTGATCCTTGGTTCCAGAGATAACCTCAAAGACCTTGGAATTTCCCCAATGACTGAAGTTTCTTTCCTATCTAAGAGGGCTCCAGACCTGACATTGTTGAGCTAATGGGGTAACTGAGGTGGGTCTGGCTATGCCAGAAAAGATCCACCTGTGATATCAGCAGACCTTCAAGGAGGAAGAAGAATTCAATCACAATTCAATAATGAGGCTCTTTAATAAAGGCTCTTGACAAGGAAGCTCCATGGGCTTCATAGTTGGTGAAAGACATTATGAATGTGGGAGGATAACACATCCCTCCTGGGATATGAAAGTTCCACATTGGGAATCCTTCCAGACATTGCACTATGTATGCATCTCTTTATTTGATTACTTTTTGCTATAACAATACTATAATTTTAAGTATAGTACTTTATGTGAGTTCTATGAGTCGTTCTGGTAAATTATTAAACCCAAGAGAGCAGTGGGAGCCAGTAGGTCAAAAGTGAGGAGAGCCAAGCTTACTGCTGGTATCCTGGAGAGGGTTCAGGGAACCCTTGAGTTTCTAACCAGCAAGTCAGAAGGGAGTGGAGCTCTGGGGACTCCTGAAGTCCCGGGCAGACTTTGCAGTTTAAAGGACTGAGCCCTTTATCAGGTAAAGTCTGACCTAACTCTATTGGTTAGCGTCAGAGGAAGAACGATAGAGGAGTACAGATTTGGATTTGATTGATCCTTAGAGTATAGTGTCAGAGAAGTGCAATTTGCATTTTCCACACAATCAGGTACCATATGTATCTACATCTATCTATCTATCCATCTATCCATATATAT